TGATTATGTATCTATGTATTATTTGTATTTTTCTATGTGTTAATTGTTTAATTAGATTATGTGTTTAAATTGTATTTTGATTAATCGCAAATTAAATGTTTTCTTTCTTTTATAATTTTATTTTATTTTTCTTTTATGGTTATGGTTAGTAGTAATGGGCCAACTAATTGGGTCCCACAGACTACTTGGATAGGAGGTTGGATGTGTATAGATTATTACCCATGGATAGTTGTGCATGTATATATATAGATATATATTATATACATATATAAAAGGAAAAGTAATTTATTAATTACTTTTATGGTAACTTGGATAGTAATATTTAATCTGATGTATATGTTTTATATTTAAATAATAAAAATATACATAGATTTGATACGTGTTATGTTTTAAGTTACTTTATAATATTATGGTAACTTAAGTACTATTGGATAATCCATTAATAAATAATGGGATGTGTATAATTTATTTATTTAATAAAGATATACATAAATTATATACGTAACATATTTTACTTACCTTTTTAATATTTTAATATATATTTTTTTTAAGTTGACTTGGATTGGGAAAAGGGTTAGGGTTATTTTATTTAGCCTATAAATATATAGCTATAAGTTGTAAAAGGGGGTTAGAAATATTCACGTGATATATTCTAGAGAGAGAGTTAAAGAAGGAAGGAGGAAAAGGAAGGAAGGAGGAGAAAAACCCTGTAGAGAGAAGATCAAGGAAGAAGAAGTTTAACTTTCGATCCGAAAGTTTAAGGCAAGTTCTTCTTCTATCTCTTTCCCTTTGATTCGTGTTTCTGTACATGCCTAGGAAATTTCAGGATTTATTAAACACATAAAATTAAATAATTATGCATGTTTAATTAGATTAGAACATAGGTTTTATGAAATTGCTTCATATCTGTTCTTGTGTTATGAATTGATAAATGCATGATTTTGATTTGATTTCCGGTGTGAATTTTTATATGTTTAAATTATGTATTTTTCATATCTGTGGAATGATGGAACGTAGACATACCTAAGATTCCTGAACATTAAATAGGAACTAGGTTTGGGTTTAAATAAATTTAAATAGACTCAATCATAATGATGGTTGCTATTTGAATTTTTTAAATAAACGAATGGATTTAATCTTTTAAAATGTTTTAGCAACTGAGATTAAATGTGTAGGATGAATTAGATATGGAGAATGCTTATTTGACGGTATAATAAAATATCATCATGTATAAGATTCAGTTTGTGTAGGACATATGATATAGGAAGCTTAAATAAATATTAAGTCATTCCTATTTTGGGATAACTTGATATCATATTATCATAGTTATTTCTAGATTGTTTGATATATTTCTTTAATCGTTACATCAATTGTTAGATTATGTGGTTTAATGCACCGGTATGGGACGATTGCATTCTAAGGACGGATTAACTTATTAGTTAAGTCCTACCTATTTTATATAAGAGAATGGATTAACTAAAATGTTAAATCCTACTTATATTCAAGTCAGGTCAGCTGAACAAGTTGAATGACTTATGGAGGATTAATTTATTATATAAGGGAATGGATTAACTAAAATGTTGAGTCCTACTTATATTCAAGTCAGGTCAGCTGAACAAGTTGAATGACGTATGGAGGATTAATTTATACTGGATAGGATGGTTACTAAATTATATATATATAAGTATGGTGCCATGATATGAGCTTGAGTCTCAGGATCAGTGGTTAGGGCGCGTATATCGCCAGGGATGTGTAGCTAGATATAGTGTAATTGTGTACCCTGGTAGGTATAGGTACTCATGCCCACTATATGTGCGTTTTGCATGTTACCTACTATTCAAGTTGAGACAATCCTATAGTCTAGTGAGGTTCCTTTAATGTGTATATATATATATATATACGGACTACTAGTTACTGTTTGTTTGACTAGGATGTATACGTGTATCGGATCTCTACTTGGACTGTAATAGAGTAGAACTTGTTTGTGGGCCTGACCCACCATTATTTTTTAGGTGTTCGTCAGGAGTAGAGGTTGTTCGTGCTGAGTAGGGATCAGTCTACTTCATTCTTCCGATGCTACATAGGAGTTCCTTTATGATTCAGTTTCCTGATTTAGACAGTTATTGTTGTCATTTGTTTAGTTTGAATTTTCTAGGGGTCCACACAGTATGGATTCCCGAGTTGTATTTTGGAGGATCAGTTGTATCAGAAGAGTTTATTAATTAATGCAAATATATTCTGAGGTTTATTATTAGATTATCATTTTAGTTTCTTGTCAGCATTTTATTTATTCTTCTTTATTCTTTTGTACTCTGTATTCGTTTATTATCAATTTGTTTTGATATCCTCGGGTATTCGGGCGTGGGCCTGGCCATCCCGTATTCGAAAATCTGGGGGTATCACAGGTTATGCCGAATTTTTTTTTTATTTTTAGAATTGGTATCATTTTAGGGTCGTGACAGATATTCTTTCTTAAAATCCTTTAATCAGATGGAGAGGATCACCCTAAAACACTCACATGTATGTGTGTGCTCTCAAAATTATCTCTCTCTTTAAAAAAATCTGTCAAATCTTCAATACTGGTGTAAAAATAATTTTTTTATGCCTTTTAGGCTAGAGATTAAGGATGTTTAAATACCTTGGAGTTCAACAATGATGATATTGTCTCTTGGAGTCCTCAGGATTTTCTCTTGCATTTTAAATTTATATTTTATATTCACCTTCAAATATCATTTCTAGCTTACCAAATTGATAGATTACAAGAATAACTTGAGTGGAAGGATGAAAACTTGGGGAAAGCTTTGGAAATGTACAACAACCAAAAGAAGATCATTGCCGAGCTACAAGATGAACTGGACAAGGTTAAGCTACAGGTCAGCCACCTACAACAGCCACCTACAACCACCACCACAACCACCACTTCTTCTTCTAGTGGCACAGAAGGCACAACCTTGGTGGGACCAGGTTTGAACTCAAATTTAAATTTGAATCTAGCCAGTAATGCTTTAGTTACATCATCTTTGTAGGCCAAATTCAAAAATAGTATGCTTATAGTCAAAGATAGAAATACTACTGACCACTTTCCACAACCTACCACAAACTTCCAACCTACTAAACACCTCCCAGAAGCTACCACAGATATCCAACCTAACCCAACCACCATATTACCACATACATCCAATCAACAACAACCTACCACAAAAATCCAAAACAATTTAACAGTGCACAATTCGGACAACCTACCTCCTACACCTTTACCATCTCCACCAATTTCTCATACTAAAAAAACATGGACTAATGTAGTAAATCATAGCAGCAACAAGATGGTCTTCCGCTATATATCCCCCTCCATAGATTCACCCACTATCATTGATCCTCCTCAAGAAGTTGCTGATGAAGGTATGAAATTTTGGGGTTCTTTACATCTAATTGGGAAATCTCTCCACAAAAGGCTTCCCTTCAAGGTGATCCAAGTTGCTGCTGCCAAGTTGTGGACATCTCAAGGCCTCACTCACACAATTTTAGGAGACAATAACATATTCCTCTTCAGATTTAGCTCACCATCCCAAGCTGAAAAAGTCCTCTCCCTTGGACCGTGGTCAATTGCTAGACATCCAATCTCTCTAATGAGATGGAGCCACAGTACACAATCACAGCCAACAAGCATTGGATGCATCCCAACCTGGACCAAATTCTATAACATCCCTCTTAAATACTAGACTGTAAATGGACTAAGCTACATTGCAAGTTCAGTGGGTAAACCATTATATGCTGATTAAGCAACAGAGGAGAGAACTAAGCTCAAATTTACTAGATTGTGTATTAATATTGACCTCAGGAAGCCTCGACCCGATGAAGTTCAACTCAAAATGGATGGCAACCTGGTTGATATTAGAGTTGAGTACTAGTGGATTCCAAAATTCTACTGCAAATGCTATCAACTCACTCACATAGAAAATTCTTGTCCTCTGAACATCATACAACCTCCACAGAAAGAAGTTCACAACCCCCCAACTTTGGAACACAGCCCTGCCATACAACCAACCAGTGAATGGGTAACCATTCGAAAGAAGAAAAACAAGCTCACAGCAGTTACTAGAAATAATCACAAACAAACCACCCCAAAAATTCATACCACCTCAACCACTAACCATTTCCAACCTTTAGCAGACCCCCAGCCCCAATTAAATCATAACAACATTGCAACCACTAGCTATCTACCTCCATATCGCACTCCCTCACCCTCACCCCCAATCCAAAACACAACTTACACACCATTTAATAACCCCTCACACCCTGCCAAACCTCACACACCAGCCTCCCCCTTATGCAGCAAAAAAATAAACTTCTCACAATATAGCTCCCCAGATCCTGCAAGCAACTCCACAACTATTCCATCAACCATGCCAGAAATATATTGCCCCCCATCACCACCCCCTTAAGGAAGAAGATCACCAATAACTCACCTCAGCACTACAAATATAACAAAAAACTGCACATCATACCAACAGCTTTAACCTCCACCCCTGAAGAGATGGCTACTCCAGCATTAACATCATCTGCAACTCATAATCCAAGAGCAAACTCAACTGTCCCCATTGATCATTCCTCACTATCTGAGCCAAAAAGCTCTTACCAACCTGGATCACAAGGAAGCATGTCATTGAGAAGATTGAAGAAAGCTGTAAGGAGGAAGTGAGCTCATGCAATGCAATAGATTTGATGTCTCACAGACATCTTGGAGGTTCTTTCACCCCTCCTTTTAAATGATCACTCTTTTAACATGGAACATTAGGGGGTTAAACCAACCCCCTAAACAAGCAGAGATCAAGAGACTAATCTCTGACAAGAAAATTGACATAGTCTCAATTGTGGAGACCAAAGTGTCTCCCACAAACATTGCTTCTATTCACAATTATGTGGCTCCTTCTTGAAGCTTGGTTCACAATTATAGGTTCTCTGACTTGGGAAGAATTTGGGTATTATGGAACCCCAACATCATGTATCTCTCAGTCATCAGTACATCTTCACAAGCTATCCACTGCTCAATTTCAATTTTAGGGCAGAATGTTAATTTCTTTACTTCCTTTGTATATGCTACTAACATTGCTACTGATAGGCAATTATTGTGGGATGATATAAGCTACCATGCTCACCTATTTTCACATTCTCCATGGCTGCTTATGGGTGACTTAAATGTTATTCCAAACATTGGGGAAACTCATGGAGGATCTATGAGATGGAGCAATGCTATGACTGATTTCACTGAATGCTTACAAGAAACTGAATTAGATGACCTCAAGTTCAGTGGGATATTGTATTTTTGGAGCAAAAAAATCCTGGGAGATGCTTGCATTGCCAAGAAGCTTGAAAGAGCTTTGGTCAACCTTGGGTGGACAAAAAACTTCCCCTCATCAGAGTGCACTTTTCTTCCCCCTGGCATCTCAGATCACAGCCCAATTCTTATTACATTAGATCTTAACACTCCAAGAAGATGTGTTCCATTCAGATTCTTTAATACATGGTCCTCTCATCCAAAATTCCACTCTACAGTTCATGAAGTCTGGATAACATACATCAGGGGTACATCTATGTTTCAGGTGGTCCAAAAGTTAAAATTGCTGAAGAAGGTGCTAAGAGCTAGCTGCAAGAAGGAATTTTCAGATGTGGATGCCAAACTGTAAGCTGTAAAGTTTGAACTTGATGCCTGCCAAATGGATTTGGATAATACCCCAGCTGATCAAAATCTTAGACAGTTGGAGAAAGTACTCACTACTGAATTGCTGAGATTCGCTAATATCCAAGAGGACACTTTGAGACAGAAATCCAGAATGACTTGGTTAAAATTAGGGGACTGTAACTCCAATTTTTTCCACAAATCTGTATGCTCAAGAACTAACAGGAAGAAAATTCTCTCTCTGTCTACTGATTCAGGCAGCACAATACATGACAAGGAGGACATCAAGCTTGAGGTGGTAGCACACTTCCCGAAACTGCTGGGATCACCACCCTCATGCACTCACCAAATCAATGACCTTGCTCCATTCATCACAATGCAGCTGCCTTCAAACATTCACTACCTCCTTGATGAATCACCATCACATCTAGAGATACAGAATTGTATGCTGAAGCTAAGCACAGACAAAGCACCAGGTCCTGATGGCTACAATGCCTTCTTCTATCACAAAGCTTGGGACATAGTTGGAAGGTCTGTTATCCTGGCTATTTTAGAGTTCTTCAGGAACGGGAAGCTCTTGGCTGAAGCAAACCACACTTACATTTGCCTGGTCCCTAAGTGCCAAAACCCCTCATCCCTACATGATTACAGGTCAATTTCTTGTGTTAAAACTATCTATAAATGCATGGCAAAATTACTAGCAAAAAAGCTGCAAGGAACTTTGCCACAGATCATTGATCAATCACAGACAGCCTTTATCCATGGCAGAAAGATTACAGACCCAATCCTACTCACACATGAGCTTCTTAGGGGCTATCACAAGAATTCCAAGCCAGCTAGATGTGCCATCAAGATCAACCTCAAAAAAGCATTTGATTCCATCAAATAGGATTTCATCCTAAATTGCCTCATTTTGCACAATTTTCCTCAAAAATTCATTTTCCTCATATAAGCATGCATGATATCCCCATTCTTTATAGCCGCACTTAATGGGGAGTTTCAAGGCTATTTCAAAGGTAAAAGAGGGCTGAGACAAGGAGACCCCCTCTCACCTTTCCTCTTTGTCATAGCCATGGATGTTCTATCTTCCATCATTAAGAATTATGTGGGTAGAGTGTATAATTTCAAATACCACTGGAGGTGCAAGGATCCAAAGATCACTCGTCTCTCTTATGCAGATGATTTGTTCTTGTTTTGCCATGGAGACATCTCATTAGTTTCAGTTCTTAAATGTACAGTTGACCATTTTTACACTATGTCTGGACTTGAGATAAACTTCAGCAAAAGTTCAATTTTCCTTTCAGGAGTAGAGGATCACACCCAATAAGCTATCACTTTATTGCTTGGTATTGGTACAGCTGATTTACCAGTGAAATATCTTAGAGTGCCACTAATTACTACAGGCCTAAAAGCCTCCCATTACAGCTAACTCATCAACAAAATCACAAATAGAATCACACACTGGTCTTCAAGGTCTCTCTCCTATGCTGGAAGACTACAACTGATTAGGGCAGTGTTGGTTTCCACCCAAATTTATTGGAGCAGCATCTTCATACTTCCAAAAGCTATTATTGATGAGCTTAACAGAATTTTCAGGACATTCCTATAGTCTGGAGCTGAGATGAAATCTACTACCTCTGCAGACTAAAACAAGCTAGTGGTTTGGGCATCCCTAATTTGGAACTAGCAAATAAGGCAGGAATTATGAGATTTATTTGGGATCTACAATGTGGTGATATGGATAGAATCTGGATCAAATGGTGTCACACACACCTTATTAAATCCAGAAGCATTTGGTCACTGAAAATTCCATACCCCTGTACATGGAGCTGGAGGAAAATATTGCAGCTAAGGCACCCTGCAAGGTTACTAATCAAGCACAAGATTGGAATAGAGTTGGTACCTCATTTTGGTGGGACAATTGGGCTCTAGGTCGTCCTCTATGCACCAGGTTTTCACCAACATTGCTCACTGCTGTTGGCCTCAATGACAATATTAAGCTTGATTCTTTCATTGAAAGCTCCTCTTGGACTTTCCCACAGACTATCACTGCTCAAATCTAGAATTATTGCACATCCAGCCACCATGTCCTGATTCTAATGACAAGAAGGTATGGACTGCTTCAAACACTAGACTCTATAACTTCAATCAAACTGCTACACACTTAGCAGGTCAATTCAGTAATGTTCCTTGGTATAACCTGGTATGGAAATTCCCAATTATCCCATGCATGAAATTCAACTTGTGGTTGGCTGTACAATCTAGACTACCCACTCTTGACAGCAAAGCTATAGCCAAGCATTAAAATATTTGTGCACTGTGCTCTAACTCTCCGGAATCACATGACCATCTCTTCTTTGGCTGCTCCTTCATTTCACCAATATGGAGGTATATCAAGGACAAATGCCATTTTTTGACTCCAATCACTAATTGGAAGAGTTTGGTCACACTCACTAGCCACCTAACATGGTTCGAAAGATTTGCCTCTCCTCAATCGTCTACCACACCTGGGAAGAACGCAACAACAGAATTTTCAAGAAGCAGAATTGTTCACAGCGAATGGTGCTCAGCAAGATCAACTCTTGTATCACATCAATTTTGCGACTTGGATTCCTTAAAGACTGCGCTGCTTCAAGGAGGATCATTATCGATTGGAATCTCCCTCCTTCCTATTATAGGCCACCTCCACGACCTCCAGACTAACAATCTGCGAGCAATTTGCAGACCTTAATTTGGACACCGGAATTAGGTTCAGATGAGCTCAATCAACGGTTATTGATAATGACAGTTATTGATTCTCATTTTGGGTTTTCTTTTTTGGCTGGGTTTGTGCCCTTAGTTGCCTAATTGGGCTTGTCTTGACCCTTGCGGGTTTATCTGTGTATAGGCCAAACGGCCCAACTCTGTACATATTATTTACTTTAATGTCAGTTGCTTTATTCTCTGAAAAAAAAAAAAAAAAAAAAAAAGTATAAGGAACCGTAGGGCCCACTACTGGATGTGCCCCCATTGAAATTCCCCTCCCCCCCCCCCCCCCCTTAAAATTACAAAAAAAATTACACTAAATTCACTTTTACTCCTCTTCCCACAACTTTTTGAATCCGTCCCTGTAACGACCCGAACCCGTACGTCCTTAACCGAACCCGAGGTCAACTAGGGATAATACCATTCTTTCCTACGTCAATACATATTATACGTGTCATTCCGGGTTTATAAAAAATATGAGTAATAATAAATAAATAAATAATAAAATAAGATTATAGCTACACAGTATGTTAAAATGGTTTACTAACCCATCGAACCCTGTGGAGGAGCGTTGTCCGCCACTTGCCATTCGTGTCCTGAAAAATGTTAAATGTAATGGAGTGTGCAAATTACTCTGTAGATAGTGCCTAAAACCCACCTCTTGTAGCCCCGTGAATCCAAACAATGAATAGGACAATAGAGAACGGGGTCATACAAAGCCGGAAAAAAAATACAATATATACTTTCAAGTCCAAAACAAAATAATGCCGTGCCATGAATGCAATGTCATGCATGTCACTCCCCATTTCAGAAAACATCCATCACTTCACAAACTGTTAATATAACCAGTCTTTGGTGACTCCGCAACGACACGAGAAAATGATTGGCTACTGTCTCTGACCCTTGGTACCCTCGTGGCGTCATTTTGGCCCAGATAGCTCAACCGCGCTAGGGCAATTTCCCTAGTTCCCTCTAGACTATATTAACACACCGGCCTTTGGTGACTCCGCGGCGACCTGGTTTTCTCAAAACCATTTTCTCAAATATTTCCCCAAAATCCCCTTTTTAATTTCATTTCAAAAGACTTCCCTTATTATTATTATTATTATTATTATTATTATTATTTTTATGCCCAATGCTTGTATGCATATCACATGTCTTTTTAATACTATGGAAATGGAGAGAATTATTATCACACAATTAATATGCTTCCATATAAATTTTCTGTCAAATTATTAAGCATCATAGGCATAGAAAATTAACACATTAAGCATACTTTTCAAGTAAATCAACAAATACACATAATTACATGGTTCATATTAGGGCTGCAACTCGGGCGGGTTTGAGGTATAACTTGAGCCCAACCCACCATATAAAATACTAAACCCAAGTCCAACCCTAACTCTATCTTTAATCTTAACTAGTCAACCCAAGCCCAACCCATCATTCTACTTTTAAATTCGGGCTTATAACACGGGTTTAGATTTCAGATAAAAATTTCGAGTTAATTCGGGTTACTCATATGACTAATCCTTATACCGAAAATTTAATATGATCTTGAATTAGTTTTAGATTAAATTACTTTTAAAAAAGAAATAGTTTAAAGACTTTTTGTAGATTTTTAATAAATTGAAAACAAATTTTTAGAAAATTAATTTTCCTAAATGTTAATATACAATAAGTTAAGATTTAACAAAAGAAGTTGGAAAGAAAAAAAAAAGTAATCATAGTTTAAATATTATATATAATGTATTTAAAACTAAAAATAAGAATGAAAATCATATTAGAATTCGGGTTCGGGTTGGCTCGAGTTGTTAGCACTTCAACCCAAACTCAACCTTAATTAAATTCAGGTTAAGATTTTTCAACCCAAATCCAGCCCTAATTGTAAAAGTAATTGCCCAAGCCCGTGAAAAATTGGGCTGGGATCGGGTTGGGTTCGGGTTACCCAATCCAAGTTGCACCCCTAATTCATATACTCAATTAAATCATCTAAGAAACAATCAATTCAATTTAATCATACTTGACAACAATTAAAATAGAAAAAACTCACAAGGGAACAATAATTTGACTATTAGAGACCCCTACCTCTATTTTATGCAAAACCCCAATTTGTGCCTTAGATCTTGAATCTCCTAGAGTGCACCAAACACGAAATTGCTCCAATCAACTTATAGATCTCGTCGTGATCTTCAATTTGCCGCAAACGGCACTAAAAAATTCTGAGGATTGGAGGAGAAATCAAACTCCAAAGTTTGATTGAAAAAGAAAAAGAAAAAGAAAAATAAGTTTGAGAGGAAAAAGAGAGAGCAGCAGGAGAGAAATGGGACTAGAGATGGTCTCTTGACTATTAAAAATAAATGAAGAGTGGGCCCATCATTTTCTTTTTCTTTTTCCTTTTTCTTTTACTTTAATTTACACCACACGTACACATATATACACATACACACATAATAATTTTCAATCACATAAAATACATTAAATAGAATGCTTGGAATGCTAATGGACCCGATAAAAATTACCGTATGTAAAAATTCCGGAAGCGGGTCCCACACAGAATCGTCCGGTCTGAAAAACTGAAAAATGCCACAATGATCACCCTTGCGTTTCAAGAGTCCTAGACTCAATGAAATGTCCCAAACAACTCTATGACATAACCGGCATACTCCACAATGTCCGGCACGCAAAACGACAAAAGACGAAAATACTCTTGCACCTACAAAATACTAGAAAAATAAAAAAAAATAATGAAAATCGAAAACATCACAGTCCCTGCTCAAAGACACCATATCCTGTTATGCCTTTAATAATATTGAAAAATAATATACTTGACAACTTTCTTACCCGGACTACATAATGGACGTAATGTGTCAATTAAGGATTAACATAAATATTAAAAAGAGTTTTATATCGGGTTTTTGTCTAAATAGATGAGCCTAGTGGTCAAACTATTACACGTAAGAATCATTATCCTTATTTTGATGGATAATAGTGCAATTTAACTAAAATAACATGCAGAGCTTTAACCTTAATAAGTTGACTCTATTGGCATCAAAATCTAAAACCTAATAGCTCATGGAATAAAAATAATTTGATTCAATCCAAAACTTGCCTTGCTCCGTGTATTTAGCAAAATTTAGTGTAACTTGTTTGTCTGGTTTAGCTGCCTTAGAAATACCCCCTGTAAAATACAATACTATGTATTGACTTTGCACCTATCTCTTGCCTTGTTTTATGGTGTCTGAGATTATGAATTGAAACATTTTCATCTCCATAAAGACCTTGGTATTCTTCTAAGGACATGACATGACATGCCATGAAGGGATGTTGAGAAAGAAAAAGAAAATAACCAAGAAAGTGAAACAGAGGATGTGCACTCAAAGAGGCCATCATGAACCTCTTTTCCTTGGAACTTGCTTCCTAGCCCAAAAAAATAAAAATAAAAAAATAAAAAAATGAAAACCTTTCCATAAACACCAAATGCTCACAGCTTAATTGTTGGGATTATATGCCTTACAAGCCAATTAATTAATATTAATTCGATATTTTATTTATAAATATGATATTCAAGCATTGGGCTTT